AGGGTTTTAGCTGGGAGGGGCGCCTCCAACCATCTCCCTGCTGGTTCAGCCTGTTCTCAGGGCCCAGGGACACCCACTCGGAGGCAGAACCTCGTGTTCCGTCTGCCCTCAGGCTTGAGGACACTCAGCTCAGGCCGAAAACCTCTAGGTTGTTTGAGTTGAGGACACCTTCCTCAAACCTTCCCCCGCCCCACCCCTCAGTTGTTCTTGTCCCTGAGATATCCTTTCCTTTTCTTTTTTGTAGTTCTCACCATGGCCAGTACTCAATTGACCCCACCCAAGGACTCCCCATTGGGTTGTCCACTTATGAACTTGAAGGCTCTGGGACTTACCGACCTCAAGCCCAAGCCCTGATTTTCTGTTGCAACACAGCCCGGCCTCAACACAACTGGGTGACCAGGAAGCCTGGCCCATGAGCAGATCTTGACTAGAATAGTGTCCTCCAGCTGGACCTTTGCTGCCGCAGTCTCGATCCTTAGGTTTAGTTTTCCGAGGAGGGGATGAGATTGTAACCTTCAGCGGGGACTTCAGGCTTCTTTCTCCGAACTGTGCCTCTCCACTCAAATCCGCCTCACTCTACCACCACTCCCGTCTGTCTTGCTACAGAGTAATTGCCATCTTTGTTTTCCAACTGAGCGACACTCTAATCCCTTAAGGCCTGCTCTTTTAATCAATATTACTCAGCACAGGGTAACTCTGTTTATTCTTTACGTGCCTAACCCAAGTCCTGCCTTCAGCTCTGTTTGGAATTGGGCTTGGCTCCACTGTGCCCACATTAAGTAAAAACAAGGGTGCAAAGAGGGAGAAAATCACACGCACACGCACACCCCTCAGACTGTAAAACACTCTATATTCTGCTCTTGGAGACCCGGGAGCTGCTAAATCCCAGGAAAAATTGGGCTTGCATTTTGGTGTAGAGAAAAAGTGGCATTTTAAACTCAAGCCGCTTTTCCGCCCTTTCACCTGATGAAACCAAAGTCTTTGTGGGAGAAGCTTGCTTTCTTTCCCTACATTTTTTGAAATGCAAAAATACCTGGCCTTCTTCAAGAACTCTTGTCTAGGCCATCCTTCTAAAATACGAATTTTGGCCATGGCTTGGAGTGGCTCGGTGGATTGAGCGCAGGCCTGAAAATGAACCAAAGGGTCACTAGTTCTACGACTCCCGGTCGGCCACATGCCTGGATTGTCGCCGGGTCACCAGTGGGGGAGCGCACGAGAGGCAACCACACAGTAATGTTTCTCTCTTTCTACAAATAAATAAATAAAATCTTTTAAAAATAAATAAATGCAAATTTTGAGAAGATAATTCTTATCAAAAGGGGGTGCTGCTGTGTGGCCCCTGGGCTGTTGGGGGCGCTGTAACATGAGGCTGCAGTTTGTCCCAGTGTTATCTCCCACCTGTGGCTGCAGGGAGTGGTTAGTGCTGCTCTTGCTTTCCAGTCATTCCCAGTCCTGGGGACAAGCTCAGAAGAGTAAAATGGGAGTCGTGTTTAACGGGGTCACAGGCCTGCTCAGCAAATGGTGCTACAACAGCAAATGGCTCTGGCTTTACCCTTTCACAGTTGTGTTATCTCAAAATAATTTGCAAAATGAGAATTAATAAATCCTAATTTTAGTGAGCCCATTTCTGTAATCCCTGCAACCCTTGGGTTTATTTCCCAGAAATAGTACCTAGATATTATCACAATCGTGGAACAAATTTACTTGTATATTTTTCTTCCTCCAGGGCCTTTAATTATAAAGACTAACAGAGCATTTTATGTACTTCTGTTACCTAGATGTCAGCTGCCCCTTAGGATATAAGGGACATGGGGTCAAATTCCAGTCTACTGCCCACCTCGAGTTCTGGCAGAGTCCTGGTAGGTCTGTTTCTGCTTCCATGGAAACACTTTAGATTATAGATTTTTACCCTCCCTTCCTGGGATTGGTAAGGTTTATCATCCCTTCTTTAAAATTTTCCTGGGATTTATAGTAGGCACATATTAAAAATTGTATCTTTGTGAAGACTGAGAGAGAAATCTGATGTCAGAGGCTGAGAGGAGCCACGCTGGGCCGCTCGAGTTAGAGGCTCCCGAGCAGAAGCTTGGAGAAGTGAGGGGCCCGTGTCAGGTGTGGAAGGGCGGTAGGCTGTGGGGGAGGCAGGTTTCCATTCCTGCTTTCGCATTTTAGAGGTATGTGAACTTAGGTAAGTGTATTATGAACTTAGGTAGGTATATTACCTAAGTTCTCTGATCCCTGGTCAGTTTCTTTGGTAGAATGGGGAGAATATGACCTGCCTCCCTAGCGTGGCAGAAGGCACTGACCAGGTGCCTTTGTACAGAATATTAAAAAGCATCCGCAGTGCGTGGCCATGGCCCCAAGGCCACACAGCCAAGCAAGGTGAGCAGAGCGGGATTTCAGGCCGGACTTGCCCGTTAGCTGGGCACCCTGCCCACCCAGGGTGTGGAGACCTGTCCTCCGTCATGAGAAGCAAGCCTGGGGAGGGGCTGGGGACAGCACAGGAACGGGTCCGCCTGGCTGCTGCCCGCGATGCGGCACCTACGGAAGGAGCCTGCCTTTTAGTGTCTCACTGATCTTGCTTTCACACCGACTCTTCTGTATTTTCATCATACCAACAACCATGTCATATTAACTCGAAGGTGTCACTCTCGGAGAAGGTACTCAGGGAAACACTCCCTCTTCCCTGCTGGTCTCATGCTCCCACCTTCTGCCCACTTCACAGATTGTAGAAACATTTAGTGAGACCACGAATAGGAAAACTTCCGGAACATACCACAAACACTGGATTTCTTTCTTATTTCACTTTTATTTTCCTTCAAGATAATCCGGCATTTGTCTAGGCTTTCTCCTACTGTGTTCTGTTCCTGGGATTTCCATGATAGCATGCTTGACCCCGAGATACCTGAGATCTGAAATAAAAATTGAACACTTTATTTATATTTATTTTAAAGGAAAATAAATGAAGCTTTTCTAATATTTGACATACAGATTGACAGTATTTATTTACTTTTAGAGCGTGGGGAAGGGAGAGGGAGAAGGGGAGAGAGAAGAGAGAGAAACATCAGTGCATGAGAGAAATATTGGTCGGTTGCCTCTTGCACACTGCCAACCAGGGACCTGGCCCACAACCCAGGAATGTGCCCTGACTGGGAGTCGCACTGGTGACCTCTTGGTTTGTGGGATGATGCCCAACACACTCAGCCACATCAGTCAGGGCTGCAGTCACATTTTTTTACTCTTCTCTGTCTTCTTTTGATTTATCTAAGTATTAGCCCCCTGCTTTATATTCCAGGACAGAGTTTTTATAAATCTTGTGGCAAAACTTGCCCCCCTTCCCTGATCTCTTTTTTTAAATTGTTATCCTCATTAGCCTATAAGAATAACTAAGTTTTTTCCCTAAAACAGGAATAATTCCTAAAAGGTAATTTGTACTTTACAATAAAGTCAGACTAGGAACTTTTTTGTTTAATCCTAGAATTCAATAAAATAAAATAAGAGTTTGGACTTTTTGGATCCAGGCAGCCTGGGCTGGATGGTGTTATCAAGTGACTTGGTCTTTCTGTGTTTTGTTCTCATCTGTGAAGTAGGAATAGGAGGGCCTGCCTCATCAGGGCAAGGTGACAAGTAAAATACCTATGACATTTTCAGAATAAGGCCAGTTGCATATTAAATACAAGGGAAGTTTGTTGCTGTTGTTACCATAATCACCACCCTTATTTTCATCTCTAGAAGTACGGTGCACACCCAGACCTGTGGCAACTCTGAACTGGAAATACCAACGTCAGTTCTGGATTCATCCACTTTCTCAGCACAGGCGTACTGGTGTCTCCTATGCGCCAGGCACTCTACTAGGTGTTGGACGCTCCACCCCATTGCTAAACCTTGTACTTCTCTGTGGTGGGCTGTATCTCCCATGTCACCAGCTTGTGGCCATAGCAGTTCGTTTTGCAATGGATTCAGTTTCTACTTCATTAATCAGTATAAAGGGCTTTGCTGTTACAAAATCACTAAACATTTTGCCTTTGCAGAATTACTAAGCACTATGGATTTCTAAGCCATTTGATATTTTAAGATGTAAATAGACTTTCCCTGCATTATTAATTCCACATGTCACTGCTTTCAATTTTTTGACTGTTCCTCTTCTGAGCTATTTGCTTATTACTCATGAAGTTCCACTTACGTGTATTTCTTCCTGGGAATGATCCCTCCACATTGACTCGAGGTGTATTCTGCCACATACTACCTAATCGTCACAGAGGATGCATTCTCTCCTACCCAGATTGCCATCTTATTAGATTGCTGGACATTCATGCAGCTGGCTGACTATGCTTTTCAACCAATTAAAGTACTGGTAGAGCAATAGAGAAGTTCTCCCTGTAATATTTTGTGTGAATAACCAGCAAGTTCAAACATAATTATTTTACTATAGAACACTTTCTCTGAAGAAATTCTTTTCACCTCTCTCTGAAGAAATGGTTTTTATAAAAGCTTAGGAAATCCCCATTATCTTAAAGCCATTCACATTCACCTGTGCATATAGTTCAGGATATGGAAAAAAAGAAAAAGGGAAATTATAAAGACAGGAATTTCTTCCACATTTCCTCCTTTCAATCCTTTCATTTCTCATCCACAAGCTGATACAATCTCGGGAGCCATCCAGTTCAAGATTGAGTCTGATAATGGGATGTACTTCCCAGGCCTCAGCAAGAGGGAAAAAAATGCATGGCCTTTTAAAAAGATTAATTTTGTTGTGAATTGTTTTATATCTTAACAGAAATGCTGTGTTTTATGTCATAACTCAGACACAATTGACAAAGTCATATATTTTCTTTTTCCAACATGTGGATTGAGAATAAGGCCTCGTGCTGGAATTGAACATTGTGTTCTCCAGACAGAGGAAATGGACACTTATTGGATGTTATTGCTGCTTTCTCTGCACTAATGACATTATGAAATCTCTTTGAATAATATAATTTAAAGATATTATTTCTTTGTTTCAGGTCATGCAAGACAAGATAATTTGCCTTCCAAAAAGAGTTCAGCCATCTCAGAACCACTCTTCCCTTTCAAATGTGTCTCAGGCAGTGGCTGCAACAACCCCCTTGCCTCCACCTAAACCATCTTCGACGACCCCCGTCACTGTGGAGATGAAAGGCCTGAAGACAGATCTGGACCTCCAGCAGTACAGCTTTATAAACCAGATGTGCTATGAGCGAGCCCTCCACTGGTATGCCAAGTACTTCCCTTACCTTGTCCTCATCCATACCCTGGTCTTCATGCTCTGCAGCAACTTTTGGTTCAAATTCCCTGGCTCCAGCTCCAAAATAGAACATTTTATCTCCATCCTGGGGAAGTGTTTTGACTCCCCCTGGACCACACGGGCTTTGTCAGAAGTGTCCGGAGAGGACTCAGAAGAGAAGGACAACAGGAAGAACAACCTGAGCAGGTCCAACACCACCCAGTCTGGCCCAGAAGGCAACCTGGTCAACTCTCAGTCGTTAAAGTCAATTCCCGAGAAGTTCGTGGTGGACAAAACTACTGCAGGGGCTCTGGATAAGAAGGAAGGAGAGCAAGCAAAGGCCTTATTTGAGAAGGTGAAGAAGTTCAGGCTGCATGTAGAAGAAGGTGATATACTGTATGCTATGTATGTTCGCCAGACTGTGCTTAAGGTTATAAAATTCCTAATCATCATCGCGTACAATAGTGCCCTGGTTTCCAAGGTCCAATTTACAGTGGACTGTAATGTTGACATTCAGGACATGACTGGATATAAGAACTTCTCTTGCAATCATACCATGGCACACTTGTTCTCAAAACTTTCCTTCTGCTACCTGTGCTTTGTAAGTATCTATGGTCTGACATGCCTTTATACCTTGTACTGGCTGTTCTACCGTTCTCTGCGGGAATACTCTTTTGAGTATGTCCGGCAGGAGACTGGTATTGATGATATTCCTGATGTGAAAAATGACTTTGCTTTTATGCTTCATATGATAGATCAGTATGACCCTCTGTATTCCAAGAGATTCGCAGTGTTCCTGTCTGAAGTGAGTGAAAACAAATTAAAGCAGCTAAACTTAAATAACGAGTGGACCCCCGATAAACTGAGACAGAAGCTACAGACGAATGCCCACAACCGCCTAGAGTTGCCTCTCATCATGCTCTCTGGCCTTCCAGACACTGTTTTTGAAATTACAGAGTTGCAATCTCTAAAGCTTGAGATCATTAAGAATGTAATGATACCGGCCACTATTGCGCAGCTAGACAATCTCCAAGAGCTCTCTCTACACCAGTGCTCAGTCAAAATCCACAGCGCGGCACTCTCTTTCCTAAAGGAAAACCTCAAGGTCTTGAGCGTCAAGTTTGACGATATGAGAGAACTGCCCCTCTGGATGTATGGACTTAGGAACCTGGAAGAGCTCTACCTGGTTGGCTCTCTAAGTCACGATATTTCCAGAAATGTCACCCTTGAGTCTCTGCGAGATCTCAAAAGCCTTAAAATTCTCTCTATCAAAAGCAATGTTTCCAAAATCCCTCAGGCAGTGGTGGACGTTTCCAGCCACCTCCAGAAGATGTGCATCCACAACGACGGCACCAAGCTGGTGATGCTCAACAATTTAAAGAAGATGACCAACCTCACGGAGCTGGAGCTGGTCCACTGTGACCTGGAGCGCATTCCTCACGCCGTGTTCAGCCTGCTCAGCCTCCAGGAATTGGACCTCAAGGAAAATAATCTGAAATCTATAGAGGAAATCGTTAGCTTCCAGCACTTGAGGAAGCTCACAGTGCTAAAACTGTGGCATAACAGCATCACCTACATCCCAGAGCACATAAAGAAACTCACCAGCCTGGAGCGTCTGTCCTTCAGTCACAACAAAATAGAGGTGCTGCCTTCCCACCTCTTCCTCTGCAACAAAATCCGATACTTGGACTTATCCTACAATGACATTCGTTTTATCCCACCCGAAATCGGAGTCCTACAAAGTTTACAGTATTTTTCCATTACTTGTAACAAAGTGGAGATACTTCCAGACGAACTCTACTTCTGCAAGAAACTTAAAACTCTGAAGATTGGGAAAAACAGCCTCTCAGTACTTTCACCTAAAATTGGAAATTTACAGTTTCTTTCCTACTTAGACGTTAAAGGCAATCACTTTGAAATCCTCCCTCCTGAACTGGGCGACTGTCGGGCTCTGAAGAGGGCTGGCTTAGTGGTGGAAGATGCTTTGTTTGAAACTCTGCCTTCTGATGTTCGGGAGCAAATGAAAGCAGAATAACTTATTTTTATTTTAAAGTTTGACTGATACATGCTTCTACCAAATACAGTATACATAATTAGGTAGTTTTAATGCTCTTCCTATTTTATGTTTTTTTTTTCCTTTTCACAGGAAACAAAATGTACACAAAGATTGAGTAAGGAGTATGTATTTTTTAATAAAAATTTAATTGTATTTTTTCAGTATTAATATTTTAAAGTTTTATTTGTCCTGGAACCTAATGTACCTATTATTATTGTTTTCTACTTGCAGAAACAGATGGTTCAGTCTGTTTTTGTTGTGTTTTCAGTTCATTCTTGTGAAGGGGAGAGAATTTTAGTTGCATTTTTTTCAGTATTTTTTTAAATAGATGAAGCTGTTTTGCCAAGGTCATTCTTAGCTTGTTTACATCTGTCCAGTTCCCTTTTGTGTCATTGTTTGTACACAAGGAATCTGTGCTGGTTATTTTAATCCCAGCTGCCTTCTCTGTCGGCCATGCCCTCCACTGTATATAGGATATTCTTTTCTGGAGTGTAAACTCACGCAAGTGCATTGTCACAGATTATTATTTTAAAATTTTCCCCCATCTCTAAGTTATGTTATTTCAAATACCTGTCAGTCAAAGTTATCCTTAGATGAGGGTTTTTTAAGTGAGTGTTTAAGATGAGGGTTTTTTAAAGATTAAAAAGATTTTTTAATCTTTATGGAAGATTTTTTAATAATCTTCCATAGCTGGCATGCGTGAATTGGTCCTTTATAATTTGATTTCCATTTTATTAACATTTGAAAATATTTTAAAACTAAATACAGAGGCCCCCCCCTTTAATCTCAATGTAGCTATATAATACTGGTGAACAACCTTAGAGAAGTTAGATTTATTTTAATTAAAATAGGTAATTAAATTTAAATATCATAGAATAGAAGCCTGGTTTTTGAATAATTTAATCATCTTTGATGTCTTGATATGTAGCTAAATCAGATGGAAAAAATTCACTACTAAAGCACTCTGTCAAAGACCCAGTGCGCGCCAGCCGGGCAGTGTGGAATCCATTCAAATTCTGCCTGTTGCACAGAATAATCCATGTATATGTATATTTAATCAGTTTCCCTCAAGTCTGCCCTTGCTGTGAGTGCTAGTGAGGCAAGCACAGGAACGCTTTCTGCTCTCTTTGGCTTAAAATAAGTATCTCATAGAATGGTTCTGTTACTTTTGTTTGAAATGTGAACAAATTGCTAAGTGGGTGTCACTTAGCAATAATTTTTTCCAGTGATCAGTAGAGCTTTCATGTATCTTTGTACTTAAAAATCCAATACGGTGTGGGTCTCAGGAAGAATTTTTCAATAACCATTGAGTTGTGTGGAACAGGAACACGGAAGTACGATCCCTCCATCCGGGAGCAGCACTACTGATCATGGAATTTTGTGTTACTTACCGAATCACATTGACCGTTTTCCATGTCTAGTCTTCTGCAAGACAGTTTTGTGACACAACAGAGAGTAGGAAGATGATTAGGAGTTTCAAAATGCCACCTCTAAAATTTGCTCCTTGGACTGCTCAGTGCTAATCTGAGTCACGTGACACGCAGCCACAGGAGCTGAGCAGGTACACCTACCGCATCTGTGCTCCTCTTGTTAGATACAGCACATCGTGGGGGAGGGACTTGGGAAAGACATGCTTTTCACTTATTTAATAATCTAATCATGCAGCCCAGATTTCTTCACTATTTCTGCTCTATGTTAAAGTGTTAGAATGGTGATTTTGTGTAACTGATTTATTTCGACCTCTAATTGAAACAGTATGTTTAAAATAATAACATGGTTGTATTTCTCATAGGATAAAACACTCAATTCCAGAATATTGTTAAGATCCTGGTGATGAACATTGTGCTGTATTTAGGAACATGGCCCTATCTTGCTTTAAACAAAGAACAAACAAAAAATGTGGGAGACTGTCCGTGGCTGAGCACAAGGGAAATACCTGGCTGAGAGTAGACTTGGATAACCACCGTTAAACACTGGGTGCACTGTTCTTCTGTATGAAATGTATGGTTATTTTCTATATCGCCCTTCAAAAGGGATCTATTCAGGTTAAAAATCATATTTATGCTCAAGTCCTTATCTGGTGTCAAAGCATAATCTCATATGTGTTCATTACTGAAGTCACTAATAATTATCACTTACAACAACTTGCTTAAAGTTCTAAAAGAATTTGATTTGCTTTCTTAATGATTTTGCAGGCTGACCCTTAATTTATGTTTTAAATAACATCCAAAAAATTAGTATAGTTCTGTGACTTTATGTTTTCATTAAAAGGGAAAATTCATAGATGTTTCTATTAGATTTTATAAAGTTTCAAAATTCTCAGACTTTATCTTGAGTCAAAGTTTTCTGACTCTGGCCCTTTTTAATACCGATTTTTGTTCACATTCTTAAGTAAAAAGCATTCAATTACTACTTAGCCTTTAAATGGGAAACTCAGGTAACTGAACTGCTGACTTTTCTGAAGTTCTTTAACAGATAAACTTCATATAAAAGGGGTGTTTACCTAATCTTTTTTGTATTTTACAAGTGCAATTGCTAAAAAAAAAACAGCTAGCTCTATTTCTCCAACCCCTATAGGATTCATGGGAAACTGCTCAATGTAGCTTTAAAGCACCAGTGTTCTCATAACTCCTATGGCTACTTGAAGCCCTTAAAGGGTACGCTTTTTGGTCTGTTTTAATGGGCAAGTGTAGAACGGTCTGGCTCATGGTCTGGTTGAAACAGAGCATATAAGTATATCCCAGTGGAACTCCCAAAAGAAGACCACACCTCTGAAAAGTAATTATGTGTTTTTATTTTGTTTTGTTTTTAACAACGATTTTAATATAAAGGTTCGTTGTACAGTGAAACCTGTTAGTTACGATTATAAATTTTTTTTTTATTGTTCACCCACCATTTTTCCTGCCACACACTCCTCATATAGCTATTGTAATGAGTTCTGCATCCTGCTTTTTCAGAAAGGCATGGGAAAGGTGCCTGCCATGGGTGTTTTGTTCATTTAGAGGTGGTTCCTTACCTGTCTCTCAAGCCATCTTTGTAGAGAGGGGCCTACACAACCTGGCATCTTCTTTGGGTTACTTGGGATAAGAGCAGCTTGAGTTCTTGCAATACAATCTCTGACACTAAGAAAGAGGACAAAATCTTTACCTCTTGTTGCCATCTCCCCCAAGGGAAGTTTGCTGTTACTCATTTTCCTAATTCTACAAGAAAAGTTCATTTTTAAGTAGTTTATTTTCCTCTCTAATTTCATACTAAATACCTGATCAATGATAATGACATATTTACTTAAAGTGAACATTCATGGTACATCTTTAGGAAAACTGTCGGCAGTACTCAGTCGAGAATAGATAAATTTCAATTTGTGTTTAGAGACTAAATGAAGATTCAATTCACATTCCCTTATTAATACAGCGATTATGTTACTCAAACAGTTCACATTTGGGTAGGATCTCAGCAACTCAGGGTCGGGTTCCATGCTAACCCCAACTTAGCAAACAGCGCAGTTACTCATGAGGGAGATGCCTCAAAGGTCTGCAAGTTTTCCCACCTTTCCTTGATTATTTAGACAGAATGTAAGAAATTTTGGACAGTCTTGCCCAGAACTGCCACTGATCTTTCAGATTTCGGCCTCAATGACATGCTTCTAATACAATGTTATACTACCTTCCAAACTAGGGATCCACTCATTACATTTTCCCAAGCCATTTACTGATACAGGTGACATCCTTAAAAGTTCATTTTGGGAGAAAGGGAGAGGGTCTCCTCTCACTCCAAGGAATTTTTTTTTTAATCAAAAAGCCTTTGGAAAGGGTTATGTAACTTTGAACTTAATTTCTGGGCCATATTAAATAACAGTTCTTATTCATGTTTTTTAATGTGGTATAAATAATGTTTTCTGCTAAATACCATCCCCCCACCTGATTCTGCCTCTTTAATGAAATATTTTTAATGAAATCCAATGCCTTATGTGCTCACTCAGTTTTCCTTCTGCCTCTTGTATTCTGTCACTGTCTCTGTGTTCAGATTGTGTCAAATGCTGGCAACACCTCTCAGACTGTCAAGGAAAATGCTTGAAAGTTGAATTGTCATCATGCAAATTCATGATAAAATGTCTTAATGTTATCTGGCTATGTAGTACATAGGAAGAAGAAATAAATAAAGTCACTTTTGTAATTTAAAGTTGAGATGTGTCCCTTTGTTACTCGTTTGGAAAAAACATGTTTATATTTTGCGCTTCTGTGGTATTTTTGTGTATTCTGCCACCGGGGCTCCCTGCTCCCTGCAGGAAATGGGCCGCATGCATTCTTTCACTTTGTGTTTAGCCAGTTTCTGCAATTGTGACTAATTATTTCCTTCCTTAATTCACTGCACTGCATGTACACAAAGTGCCCCTGGAGTTTCATTTGGGTAATTAGTGCCCTAGTGTGTAATCTGGAGTGCAATTTCTGTGCATCTGCCAGATCAGATTGTACAATTGCTGTCCAGCCAGCCCAGCTTTCAGTAAATACGTGGTGGTAAAGACTGTGGTTAGTTAAAGAAATCAGAACAGTTCTGCATAGCTAGAAGGACGCCCCTGGTTAACCACATACACTCCGGGCTTAGGGAAGCCTTTTATAAGAAAATTTGTACCACTCATGCATGAAAATTTATGACTGGTAACTTTTGAAGCTCAATTGTGACTTTACATATTTTTCTATAGTCGTTCATCGCTCAGTTATCTTACTGATAATCAACTGACAGCCCTTTGAAAGACTATTGAGATGAAGAAGGGTGGAGTGTGGTGAAAGGGGCCGAGGAATGTGTGTACCAGACACTTGGACGGCCTTGTGTGAAAGCTCTGAGACTTTCTGGAGACGAGGACTGAGAAATGCAGTGAGTAGGGACATCAGCAACTTCGGTGCAACTTGCACATAGGATGGTCAACGTAAGAAACATTCAGACTTGTAGAGAATTTTTGTGACTTTCTTTGCGCCAAACTGGTAATTGCCAGAAAGCAAAACCTTAATGAGCTGAGAAAATACTCCGGAGAAGGGCAGTTTAGAACCTTACTTTATACATTACAATAAAAAGTGGAGGTGTAATGGGGTTACATGAAATCCATTGGTGATGGATTAGGGAGGTGGGAGAAGGCAAAGCAGGGAATCCTCTGGGATTGGATAAAAGGTAAATGATAGACACTTTTACACAGGTGGGTACAGGATGGTTAACAGTCAACAACTGGTAACAGTGAGGGGACTGGTGGTCTTCCCCTGCTGCAGTGCCTGTGCTTTGCAGGGGGGGGGGGCGTCCAGCAAGAGGAAATTTGACATTCCAAAGGTCAACAGACAGGGGAAGTTAAGGTAAAGATTGACCTTTGTTAGGAAAAAATACCGACTTAGGACATGACTGCCCACTTTGACCTGCTTTTAGTTAGAAAGTTGTTCATCTCAGACCACCCTGTGGTTACCCTAGATCTCCAGTTTGTGAGGCCACCACACAGGCCTCCCCTGAGCTTGTCAGGTTTGCATGTTGCCCTTTTCTTGCACAAGATTTTATCTACTGCCACCTTCCACTCTATCTTTCAGGCCTTTAACTTTTGCAGAATATCGATAAAAAGATTGAAATGAAATAAATTACTCATTTACTAATGCTGCCTAGCAAGTGGTAAGCACTTGGGTTTGGTTGGAAACATACATGAAGAGGGAAGTCACTAAAGCCAATTTTAGACTCAGAGGAGTACTTGCTTAGCCATAGCACAGGGCCCACCTATTTCTGAAGGTGAGTTTGAATGTCATCCTAAATATCCAAGTAGGAAAAAAGTGAAAAGCTGCCTCTAAGTTGTATTATTTTTTGTGTAAATTTTTTAACACGGGTTATACTTTAGATTTCAGACCTAAAGATATTTGAACAAGCAAGGGCAAAAATGACCAGGTTGCCATGAGTGATAGTGTTACAGAACCAGCCAGTGGTGGTCTGGAACAGCTGTGGGGTTTAATTGCCCACCACCAGGCAGCGTGACTCCTAGTTCCAGAGTCTGGTGCAAAAGGAAAGGGTTTGTTTATTTAAAGGCTGTACAGATTTAGAGTAATGGCAGATTTCTGCCGTTAAGTCCCGATCCCTTTAAAAGTACCCGAAAACACCTAGTCCTGACAAAATAGGCCACTTTCAGAGAATGCCACTTAGAGGCACTGTCTTCCAGAAAAGCAGAAGGCTGCAGCTCAACATTCCTGGTTACAGTCCAGCTCCAAACATCTCTCGTGAGTCTGGGTGGCTAGGCAGGTCCACGCAGCTCTGTCGGCCCTGCAGCTGTCCTCCAGGCAGACTTCCAGGCAGACCTCCTCTCTCACTGCAGATACCCTGGCTCTCTCTTTGATCTGCAACCCACCCTAATTTAAATGCTTAGTCTGGAACTTCCTATGTGATCGCACATCTGGTTCTTCCTATGGTGCGTTAATGTCCACCATTTTTGTCAGGTCCCCAGTGTCTGACCCCTTTTTGGCTGCCATCTTTAGTCACAGCAAGAGTTCCCAGCAACACAGGGGCATTTGGGGTGCGCATCCATGACCCTCCCTGCCCCCCATGTCGTGATTCCCTGCACATTCTCACAGTCACGTAGACAGTTCTAGGGCAGCAACCCTCTTTCCTTCAGGAAGGAACAGCTATTGACTGACCTTTTGTTATGTAATGTACCTAAATGCTGCACCTTCCACTCTTCCCTTCCCCCAATCCTGCCCGCAGGCAGGCAGGATTGTGAGAGTTGTCCCCCTGCGTTCAGGGAATCCATGCTCTGCACCTGGTTACAATAGAGTATTTTCAGAGTTTGAATACTTTGCACAAAAGACACAGCATTAGGCAAAGATCTAATCACCAAACATCTCAAACATTCTGATTATTTTAACACAGATTCTTCTGTTATAAAGTTTGGGACCAAGTAGAAAATGAACTCCTCTTTAGTTTATTTCTTTAGTCCTTTAAGAAATTAATTTTATTTCAACTCAGGTTATATCTAGACCTCACCACGTAAAAAGTTCCTATTAGTAGTCTCGGGCAACACAGATCTTGGGAAAAGTGATGAGAAAGAAGCAGCATGTGAGCTTTGTGTTTTATATCTCTGCCCCAGCCCTAAAAATCCTACTTCCCAGCCATGATTTCGATGTAGAAAAAAATGACATTTCCTACATTTGACATGCAAAGATTCTTGGGGTGTCCTTATAATTTAACATAAACTATGTGGGGTAACTTTGTTAAAAGAAGACTCCAAGTAACATTTGGCAGCTTGGAACATCTCAGGCTAATTTAGTTAAAGAATAATTGAAACCAGTGCAAAACCATGAAGGTATACTCATGGTAGGCTTGAGGGATAAATAGCCACAAATGTATGAAATAGCTGATGAGTTCCATTTGTGCCTACTGAGTTATATAAATGTATAAATTACATTTTTTAGTGATCGAAATTACTTTATGAGAAATACTCTGCAGGATGGCCAACCTCAACAAAAACCTGAGATGTCAGGCACATCAATGATCTCTAACTGGTGTTAAGGAACAAATTATTGTGACGCTTGTTAAAATGGTAAGGAAGACTTTATTCAGGACTTACTATTTATTCTTTTCTTAACTCTCCCCAGGTTCTCGCCTCTGCTGCTGACTCAGACCTGCAGGCAGTCACACCCAGAGCCTTCCCAGCACCCACTCACCACAAATGTGGTTGCCCTGTGCATCCAGAAACAAAGCCAGGATGTTGACAGCCTTTGTTTTATGGAAGTTATTTAAAATGAGTTCGTGACTGTGGAACTGAAAACTGGAGATACAGCATCAGTCAGAACTACTGTCTAACCATTTAGCTACATAAATATTTTGTTAAGTCCAGATAACTTCTTAAACTGAATTCATGTCTAATGGAATATAGGAAGAACGCCACAGAATCATATGTGTATACAAATATACCCAATTTACATTACATAAAATTTCTGGTCAGTGAAGGGAAGAGAAGATGGAAGTTCGGGTGCAGAAAAGTGGTTTACCTTCCGTAACCGGAGAAGACACCGGCGTTCGGGCTGCCTGCCACTACCAAACCCAATAAGCAGTGACAGCCATTGATTGAATCTTTTATGGGCGCTTCATTCAGCTGGCCAGCAATCTCAGAAGATGGCAGGTTCATACCCTAACAGACCCTCTTGTCTTTTCTTTCCAGGCCAGACCTTTTATAAGGTGAGGGTGGGCGGATAAACAAGGTGCTGTGAGGGCTTTGAAATTCAGGGAGGATTAGGTGAGTGAAGCTGCAGCATTCCTGTCTGGGGCAGCTAGCTGTTCCCAGGGGAGGTAGGTCCTCCGCTCTCCCTGGAACACAAAGGCCCAGATGCCTGCAATTTGTCCCCAGGTGGTAACCTCTAGCCAGTGCCCCAGGAGGTTGGCTGTTTTCCCAGGAGCCAGGATGGGCCTTATCTGTAGTTTCTGAAACAAAAACTTTAACATACACATTTCTTGCTGGACTTACAACTTTTTACCTTAGCTAAAATTTTCCAAGTCTTGAGTCCCCTGTCACTTCTACCCTTCTGAGTTCTTCTGGCTGGACTAATAATCAAATTAGCATGAGAGATGAACAAAAGAAAATGACCAGACTTACTACGTATATAGATGCTGGGGTTTCATAAGACTACGAGACAAGAGAAACAGTGGGCAGTTGAGGCGTATATGCCATCCTGGACTAAGGACAGGGAAGCAGGAGTCTGGAATCAAAGGGACAGCAGGCAATTCACTGGCAGATGAGAAAGAGCAAACATGGTAAACAAGTTCTTAACTTAGTCAACTAGAAATGATGGGACATGATGTGGAATCTAAGAAGCAGACTTTGCTTGTTTGCTCCTTGCCTGCCACATTTGATTCGTATATGCTAAGGTGAGTATGCCAAGTCTCCCTTCCCAAAGCAGGTTTTTCTATTTGAATTTCTTAGGTAGGCAAGGGGAAGGTTTAAAAAAAAAACAACTTTTCTTGAGTTTGTTGGGCTTTGTTTTCAGTTTGACATGATCTGTGTGCCACGGCGGTGCTCTCAGGGGAAACCAGTTCCAGGCGCCTACCAAGGAGCCTCCTGATGAAGGAAGGATGCTTGATACACACTTTCTAAAATTCGGGTTGATTTGCCCTTTACGTGCTACCAACAACAATTGTTCAAACAATCAACTCTCAGTACAGCAAGCCAG